AAAAGAATAATGCCAATGGCTAACATTTGTGAGTTTTTGCCACATGCCAGGGATACACAGCCCTGGTTGAAGTGGGAAGTGAGCTTTTACGTGGGGGAAATGGGTCTCAGAGTGCGAGACTGACGTGTCCAGAGTTACCCAGTTGACATGGGGCACGGTGTTCACAGTTGTTCCTTTTCCTTCTAACTGGGCTGGGTGATGAATGTCCTATCCCCACACTGCTGACCATTGTGGCTGCCCACAGTGGCGAAGTCCATTCTCTCATGCTTCCCATTTTTATGTTCTGGAAAATTCTCTCCAGGTTCCCAGGCCTGAGGAATCCTGCTGCATCCTGGTCTCTCGCCTGCCTCTTCCTGCTGCTCTTCCCCCAAGAAGCCTCGGGCACTTGTCTCCTCCACCTGGGCCTTTGGAGACTTTGCAGATGGAGAAAGAGAGGGGAGGAGAGGCTCAAGTCTTGAACTAGGAAAGCAGCTCTTGACCTGCAAAACCTGCCACCTTAGGAGCAGACGCGGAGAGCGGTGCTGAAGCTTCGGAACCTGTGATGATTCTGGGGGAAAACCGAGGCTCGGGGAGGGCACTGGCCTGCCCAGCTGGGCAGAGGTGAAGTCCGACTGTCATTGGGGGCTGTCCAGCCTCTGTGCTCTTAAAGGGCAAGTTTGCATGTCAGTCTCTGGTCCAGAAATTACCTGCCCCTGATCTGGAACCCTCCCCTGGGCTGGGACATCAGGCAGCTCTGACAATAGGGCCAGCTTGTGGGCTCTGTCCTCCTTGCAGAAAAAAGTGCAGAGGACATTGTTACTGGGTCTCCAGGACTTTTCACACTTCCCCCTCCCTCACCCATGACAGGGAACTAACAATGCCCATCTGGGTTATGGGATGGTTAAAATTTGATGGAACAAATGTAGTCCCCACTTCGTGCCCCAGCAGAGCCAGTGTTGGGTAGCAGAAGGGCATGGAAGGCTCAAGGCACCGATGGATGGGGCCTGGACCAACCTTCTAAACATTTGGGGCTGAATTTCTGCTTAAGCTTCCCCCAACTGCCTATCTCAGCATCATCACAAGGTGCGTGTTCAACAAGCGCATCCAGGAGAAAGTGTGATGAGCTGACAGCTCCGTGAACCTTAAAATGAGAAGAAAATTCGAGAACCCCCAAGAGGC